TGATACTTTTGGGGGCACTAGAGTAATTAAGTCTCTTCATTTCGATTACTATTTATTGTATGTTTATGTAGTTTGTAAAACCACGGATCCTTCTCATATAGACGACTCGGGCCCTATCCTGGGGCTAGGGCCCGTATTGAACCTTTGAGTATGGATAATCTCCAAGGGAATATATGCACACTTTGAGCGATATCAGAATAAGGGCGGACTTGGGCTGATGTAACATCCCGATCCAAAATATAATCCTTCATGAATTAAATTAATTAAATTAAATCTGAATTTCCAATTTTGCCCTCAAGAGTAGGGGTAATTTGGTCACTTTTTGATTTGGAAAGATTTTGGAGAAATGAGTGGCACCATTGCATAGAGCTCGTCAATACGAGTTCGTAGACATGTGGCATGCTCAATTCCGAGTTGTAACGAATGAGGAAAAGTCTGAAAATGAAAAGGATGAAAAGGTAATTTTAAGACCGGTACTGCAGCGGCTGATCCCAGTCTAACCCTCTTCGATGGTTAAGTCAGAAACTAACTTGAGATGGAGATAGAATGGATGTAGGGTTTTTACTATGAGAGGATTTATTAACGTTGTTCATAAATAGGTAAATAATATTTATAGGGGGAAAAATGATAGACCCAGATATTTTATGAGATATATATTTTCTTTATTCCCCTAAGTTAATGCTCTGTTTCTGACAACCTTGCCTTGTGACAGGGGTTTGGTGGCAAAGTGACAGGTGAACAAGGATGAGAGGTGTATTAAATGTTTCATTTCTATCACCAATCTGTTTTCTAAGAGATCGAAGGGTAAAGCGACACGTGCTTAAGGATGATATGCGCATCAACCAACCTTTCATGTCATCCAGGTTGTTTCATTTAATGCATCTCTAGTCAAGCCATGGTGCCAAAATGGTCGGGTCAGTCTTTGAACACCCGATCACTAGTCTCATTTCAATCTATCACATTCTCTTTGAGGAGTTCTTTGTCGCAGTCATATATGTTCAGCTCGGTATATGAGGTGTCCTCTGAAGGGCTCGACTCACAATGATAATATGAACTATCAACATAGTTTATTACTCATTCTCTCGGCGGTTTTCCATTTGCTTGCCCCCTCCTCCCAGCCCCATAGTTTCCCTATTATCCTCTCTCATTTCAGAAGGATTTTTTTTTTTTTTTTTGTTAACAACAATTTCAAAAGGTTTAATTAATTTACCTGAAATGGGCATATTGGCTAAAATACTCGAGCACAAGAATCAAATTGATCATGTGAAAACAAGAGAATAACGCGGTTAAAAAGATCTTCGTATTTACCCAAAACGAAGCGAGAGAGGGGAAAAAAAAAAAAAAAAAAAAAACACGAAGGGCTCCTAGGGTTTCAGCTCGCAGCCTCCCATATATAAGGGAAATAAACCCGAAGTGCTCGACTCTTCACAGCCTCTCTCTCGCTCTAGCTCACAAAACCTCCCGGATTAGGGTTTTCGTAGGCTCGTCGCTCTCTGTCCAAGTCTCAAGCATGGCGAATGCGTCGCCTCCTCGTCTCCTCAGTCAGAAAGAGGCTGACATCCAGATGATGCTTGCCGCTGAGGTCCATCTGGGCACCAAAAACTGTGATTTTCAGATGGAAAGATACGTCTTCAAGCGCCGTAATGATGGTATAAATATCTCCTCCGTTTTCGTCAGATACAATCCTTTTCTTAGTTTTTGTTTATGCTTCTGGATTTGTGATGGATTCTGAGAAAATGCATATGATGGGCACCTTCTAATTTGTAGGGTATGTGTTTTTGGCAGATCTGGTATATAGATTGTTTAGCTTTAGTATTATTTGTTAGTATAGGTGCATTTTTTTGTTGTAATTTTCTTTAAAGTTAATATTGAAATGTGCCTCTGTGAACTGCTCATTCTGTTCAATTTACTTGATTTTAGAAGATGAAATGTTTTGTTTAAATTTTATTTAATTGCATTTTGGGGACTGTGGGTATTGTTTTTAGTTTTTGACTGCACTGATTTGTTGTTGAGTTATATGAACAAGAAACACTGTGATTTGACATAGTTCTCCATATTGTTTTGTTAGGTTTTGATTTGTTATACGAACAAATCTCTTGGTTATTGAATTGGCACTTAGTACTCAAATACTGATTTGGTCAATCTCAGGGATTTACATTATCAATCTCGGAAAGACATGGGACAAGCTTCAGCTGGCTGCCAGGGTGATTGTTGCGATTGAAAATCCCAAGGATATTATTGTACAATCGGCAAGGCCCTATGGTCAGAGGGCTGTTCTGAAGTTTGCTCAGCACACCGGGGCTAATGCAATTGCTGGAAGACACACCCCAGGAACCTTTACCAATCAGCTTCAGACATCTTTCAATGAGCCCCGTCTCCTCATTCTGACTGATCCAAGAACAGATCACCAGGTGACGGTCAACTTTCATTTCTGGGGTCCTCCTATGTTCTTTTTAAGACTGTTGCAACAGTAAAGTTGATGTTATTATCCAGGGCTTGTTAAATGTGAAATTTTTATTTATTTTCTGTTTGTGTATGTGTAATTATAGTCTATTATTTCCCAATTTTGCTATGCTTGTTTTCTTAGTGTGTTCTAATGATCTTTATGTGACTGCAGCCAATTAAGGAAGCAGCTCTTGGAAACATTCCAACAATTGCTTTCTGTGATACTGATTCTCCCATGCGTTATGTTGATATTGGCATCCCTGCCAATAACAAGGGTAAGCACAGCATAGGATGTCTTTTCTGGATCCTAGCAAGGATGGTTTTGCAGATGCGTGGCTCCCTCCGTCCAGGGCATAAGTGGGATGTCATGGTAAGCACAGAACACCACTTTTGAATTTGAAATTGTATGTCTGGACTTTTGTGCATTACATGTAAAGCAACTAGGAGCTTACTTAAGAGATGGTCTCTAAACTACTTATCATGGCTCAAAATATCTGCTTGCAGGTTGATCTATTCTTCTATAGAGAGCCTGAGGAGGCCAAGGAAAAGGAGGAGGAAGAAGCTGCTACAGCGGCAGATTATGGAATTACAGATTATTCTGCAGGCCTTCCTGCTGGTCTTGCTAATGATCAATGGCCTGCCCAAGTTTCTGATGCTCCTTGGCCAACCGATGCCCCTGCAGCTATCCCAGCAGCTCCTGTTGTTAGCTGGACTGCAGAACCAGGTTTCACTTGTCAACCTTGTTATTGTTGTAAATTTTGTGCTATCATCGCACTTCTGCTGTCTATTTCTGCTACTTATGTTTGTTTTTTTCCCTGTCTGGTTTATGTGTTTGTGTGCAGTAGCAGCTGCAGATGGGTGGGGGGAGCCAGTACCAGGCCCTGCTCCTTTAGTTGATGGTGCTCCTCCTGCTACTGGCTGGGATTTATGAAATTCTGAAGAGTGCTGCTCATAACAACGTAGTTTAATCTGTAATAGGCTAGATTTTAATTTCTTTCTTTTTGGGTTTCTAAAAGGATTATGATTCCATTTTGAAAGATGGATTGTTTTTGAAACTGTTCTAGATTGGCTCCTTCTATTGAAATACAAACAATTTTGCAAATAAACCCAATATAAAAAATTTGGCAATGCAATTCCCTATATTTATTTTGTGGGGTGGATCCAAAGGAAGATAACAGAAGGGAGGATTTAGGTGAATTCTGGTTCGGGGACCTCGCTGAGGCTCGAGTTGGTTTTGGCAAAAAGTCCATACCGCTTTATCTATCTCACTAATGTCAGTTATGGAGCGGCAATTTGGTCCAATCTTGCATCTATGGGGGTCTGCCAATAATTCTTTTGGGGATTGTTTGTGGGTGTTGATTTATGGATTTGAATATGGTTCAAATTGAGGGCAAGTAGCGGTTAATATCACGTTCAGATGGTGAAGAGAATATGTTGGGAAAATGGAGGTTTTTAACTGTGTACAAAGGGGAATTGCATTATGGATGAAGATTGCAGTGTAGAGGGTTGGAATATGGAGTGGCGGCTGAGAAGGGTCTAAATGAGTTCAAGCTCCACTTGTTTGGATGGAAACCAGGAAGGGCTGAAGCCACTTGAATGGTCAAAAACATTAAAATCAACCCCTGTTCTCGATCCGGCAAGTGGCAGCCTGGCAGGCAACGGAGATAACATCGGAACACAGCTAGCTCTGATCGTCAGGCTCGTCATCATTGTCATGACTATCAGAGCCACCTATGCTCTGCTGTTCTTTTCCCCGATAGTCACAACAGTGGAAGAGGACGACCCAAAGAAAAACCTCCATCAATGGCTGCACCCTCACTCAAGTGACTCGGTTAATTAAGGTGACAGGTCTGGTGCTTATCTCGTTTATGGTGCTCAATGGTCATGAAGATGAAGAACAAGGAAGGGAACTTGAAAGTACTGAAAAATTGGAGGGTAACTTGAAAATAACCCAAGAATTCGAGTGGTTTTACGTGGTTGCTGCTGAAATTAATTATCTAAAATCTTAACAACAAAAAATATCTCGAAGCTTCCAGACCCGTTCCCTTTCTCTTTGATTGCTCAAGCATACGTGAGTAATGAAATACATAGTGAGGTACCTTTTCTAGATTGCCGCCACAGGGACTAAAAATAAATACAATAACTGAATTAATTAAAAATTCTTAATCTTCTATTAAATGGAAATTAAAGGAAAAAAAAATTGTTTTTACAAAAAATATGACACGGCAAATTTTCGTGTTGAGTCAAAGCTCTCCTCCCCCCTTCCTAGTCTTGGAAGGTTTTTTTTCCCCAGAGTTAGGAAGGGGAGGGGGCCATTCTCACTGTGTCAGAAGGAGCAAACCATAAACCACTAGCCTACAACAACTCTACCACTAAAGCTAAGACCGCATTGGCTAGGGTTACAACAGTTTGGTGGAGGGAAAGTATTGAAAAACGAGGGATCAAACCCTAGAAGCACCATGAACCCTAGTGTTAATACCCGTCACTTTTTTAAGCCAAGAAAAATAAAACAAATTAATGAACCACAAAATTTGAATCAGATGGGCGCTCGTCTATGCAAAGGTTCAGTAATCAATAATCTAACTGGTTTCTGTACAATTTAAAATAGGATAAGGACCACCTGCAATATGATGATTGAGGGCACAGCATCATACATCAAAAACACTGCAAATATAAATAACAGCGACTAACATTGATTGGGGGCACAAAAGATCAGACACAACAAGCATACCAAGAGGATACTGCACTCTCCCACTGTAGTTCATTACATGTTTTAGCGCCACTATCTCGACTCTTCTAAGTTTGTTCAGAAGAAAAATAAACCTTCACACTGTTCTGTAAGCCCAACCATGTTGTTGCAAATATGCTTCGACTGCTTCTTTTATGGCTAAGTTTGGTATTAACTGTGATTGATCAAGTGGCTCACGCGTGATTGGATCGAAGTTACCCACCTAGATGATTGCAAACAAAAAAGTCGGAGATTAATGTAGATATATACATAAAGTAGAGTGTATTAGTAGATGTAACCAAACATTACCTTCTCAAGATGGTTAAGGATCACTGATCTCTCATATGTAACCCCACTAGGAGTAATCACAGGATCACGAAATATGTCGAGAGTGATTTTACAACAGAGGTAATCCGGCACCTGAATTTTTTTTTAACATTGTCACATGATAATTGAGATTTTTCTTAAAAGAAAAAGCACGAAGGGAAATGGAAGATATAAAACCGTGTACTCTACTGACCTCACTTGGTGTGTCAGCTTCTGCAGCTTTCTCAAACACTCTTCCTAAAGCCTCTAACTGTTTCATATGAGTAGGACCAGCTTCATCCAAAAACCCTTCCATTTCAAAAGCGTCATGTTTCTCTTTGAGAGCATTCTCACAAGCTTCTCTGAGACATGAAACAAGTTTTATGAAGCAGCAACCAAGTATGAACATCAAATAATTATTCAGTTTTGAAAACCTTTTCAGACATCATAGGACTGAAGGAGACATACTTCAAGTTTTGCAATTCCCATGAACGTTTGCTTGATAAATCCTCCCACTCCATGTACTTTGCTTTTGCAAGCTCCTGCCAGATCTCCTCTACCATATAACCCTTCGGATTGGCACCCCTCCCAAGATCCAAAGCCTGTACAAGGAAGTTGAAACAAAACTTCAATAGAATTTTCCCTCTAACATAATCAACTGAAAAGACGCAAACAACTAAGAGAAATTTGCTCGATGCTTATAATACAAGGTACGCTATACAGAAACCACTTCTTACCCTTTCCAATTCCTTAACTCCATCAGCATACTCTTGCTTCTGTAGTAATGCAAGCCCCAGCATATAGTGAGCCTGTCATGCAACAAATTTTCAATGAACTACATGAAACCATTATGATCCAAGAGAAGAAGGAAAAGTTTCCATTAAAGAAGAAGACATTAGGTAAAAGTGTAGAATCTCAACCAGGAAAGTCAGGAACACAAAGCATATAAAGGAATCCATGCTTTTGTGCCACTATGTAGGTGGAACTCTTATTAACACCCCTTTAATCACCTGAATATGCTCAAATTGTATTAAAAGCATTTAACTCATAAAATGATAGCATGTTTGCAAAAGAAATTCAGGCCAAAGATTCATTAGAACGTTAACGTTCAATTCATCACAATTCAACAATTAATGCAAGTTTCTGCAGCACCAAGGCAATGATTAGATACTCAATTAGATACAAGAAGGGTAGCAATGTACCAAATCTCACTCCTCCAAACATGCTTTATTCTTGGGCAACAGACAACAAATACGACAAACACATTTATAGAAAGGGCAAATTTTTTATTTTATTTTAAAAAATACCAAAGCCAAAGCATAAGAATTTACCTTAACTGAGTTGTGTTCAAGCTGAATAGCTTTCCGAGAATCTTCTTCCACTCTCGTCCAATCACTGCATTACTTACAACATTAAAAGAAGTACAAGAATTCGATGACAAAATGTCATTTTTTTCATAATTGAAAATACAAAGAAAGAGCGGATGATCATACATACTTACGCTTCAGATGGCAAAGGGCGCGATTCGTATAATAAACAGGAATATCAGGGCACAGAGTTATCGCCTTGAAACCCATCAACAACAAACAAGAAATCATCAATTATAAAGACCCAATAAACATTTCTGATATATACAGAGCACATAGAGAAGCGAATTGAAGAACAAAATACCTCAGTATATGCCTCGATGGCGGCATTGAAGCGCCCTTTCTTGAAGTAAGAGTTGCCGGCTTTCCTGAGTTTCTCCGCCGTAGAAAATGCGTGACTCGGCCCCATTTCTCTCTCTATCTTTCTGGGTCTCTCCCAAAATCGTTTATTTTGGTGTTTCTGTGAATGTGGGTGAGGGCAATTCTATGTTTTAGCAGCGGTTTTTGAATTTCGGGGAAAGAGGATGTAGGGTTCGAGAGTTTTCCAGGCGAAAGCGAAAGAAAGCAAAAGCGCGAAATGGAAGAAGAAGGGAGGCAACGTCAAAACCCTCAAGCGAGTCAGAGACGTTTCTTTGTAGTTTCCTTCTTTTGTTATTGGGAGTTTGAGAAAGCCAAAGACTTGACCTTTATTATTTTGCTTCCTTCCCCTAGAAGGTAACTTTACATCCCTTTGGCAGATTGTCTCTCTTTTTAATTTTTAAAATCCCAAAGCTTTTCAAGAATAGCTCTCATTGGTCCAACTTTTCAGATTTCCGAAACTGCCCTTTGATAATAAATAAATAAATATACAAAGATCCTGGGTTGGTCTGACTGGCCGATGCCTTAACTCTTTTATGATCCATTTGCATTATCAAATTGGTCAACGGGAAATTCTAATCAAAGTTATTGTTTTTCTAATCCCCAAATTTTGGAAATCCATAGTCCCTCACCTTTTGGGCTTTTAACGTCTTGCTTATGTGTTTGGTATCCAATGCACAAACATCTGTTGGAATACATGATGAAATGAGTGACCACAGAAACTTCTCATGGTCATGAGGTTTTGGGCCCCGAACTTCAAAAACTATGCAACATATCATATATAGTGGGGGTGTCACTGTAAACCAGTGGTATACATATGAAACAAAGAAAGTTCTGCAAGTCATGCCAAACATTTGAAAGAATTGAAGTATGGATATTTTACAGAATTGTACACTGTAAATTACAACGACGGAATCGAATGAAATATGCCTCTAGTTTCCGGTAAGACTAGATCCTTGACCCTTGCTATCTTCAGAGTCGTCGGATAATGATAATTGCTCTCGAACTCGATCTACAAGTCGAGGGGCTTCCTGGTCTAAGTTCATAGGCCGCCTCTGCAAACTCTGCAAGATAATATATCCTCAAGACAATAAGCAAACTCAGCAAATATTAAACTTATATCCTCAAGAATGTCCAGTTTTACATAATAAGGAGACACAAAATGCGACTGATACATACCTCAGAAGCCCATAAGCAATCAAGTGCCTTGCGCGGAATTATGTGTATGTGAGTCTGAAAGTAACCCATGTTACATAGTAAAATTAGCAAAAGCTTATCATATTGCTCAAGGTAAATAATGAAATAGCTGCATAAAAGGGTAAAATTCTAATGTCAATTAACAAGCTAATATTGTTCAGTTGCAATGAGATTTATGGAATTTTGATTGCTGTCAGCAGATATATCAGTTCTCTTGTACGCTGCTGTTAATTTAATCAAATCGGAATTCAAAAAGAAAAGCATAAGGACTCACATGAAATATAACTTGGCCTGCAGCTATACCATTGTTAACTAACAAGTTGAATGAATCTGCATAATCAGAACTTCCCATGTTTATTTTTTGTAGCAGTCAATCTTAGCTAGGTATGCTTGAAAATGCAATTTCAATCAAGGATGTCACTGAAAATATCTTCGAAACATTAAGGAACACTACAGCACACCCTAATTGCTATATAGCAAGACAGTAAACCTAGAAACAAAAAGAAAGTAAAATATGGTGCCAACATAAAATGACTTTGAACACATACCAGAATCAGTGGCTTTCATGATTGCACTGCTGATAAAGGGCACTTTTGAACACATTGCAGCTACCACCTGCAGAGCAAGTTCATTTGAACTCATGCAACATTATAATGTCCCATGAAAATACAGAAACACATGCATTGGACACTACAAAGTATCCAAACAACCTATTTGAGATGTGTAGAGAAAATTACAGTCCGACCTGTTACCTATCATTAATATAGTCAATGTGCTCATCAACCTTAAGCTTATAATCCCAATGATGGACAATACCCTTCTATCCTTTATGCATACACGTAAACAAACTCTATGCTGATATCAAGAAATTATTCTCATCAATATCATCTAATGCATAACATATGAAGGCAATCAATACTCATACTTCATAATATCTAGCAACAGATTCATGACATTCATACAGACCCATTGCAAACTGATTGTATCAATAGGATATACTTACATCTGGGGGTGTGGCTTTCAACGAACAAAAATGAGATTTTGGGATAATAAGAGAATGCCTGCGAACAAAAGTATGAAATTGAGTATGGGAAAAAAAAACTGTCATGTAAAGATGATAGAGGTGTACCGAGTCTTTCTATTATCCAGCGTTAAAGAAATGCAGGCAAAATTGCCACAACACTTGCAAGTCTACAATACAGAACTAAAGTCAATCTGAAGCACATCATGCAGACTTCACAAATTTACAAACCATACAGTATGGTCTGGCAGTCATTTGATGCTACAAATCGTATCCCATAACTAAGACAACATGCCCTTTTCAGGGCAACACAGTTGAATCAAGTACGATTCACAAAACTGACAAACTATAATAAACACAGTTTCAATGCAGTGAAAGAAGCTGCTTTGTGAACATATGTGGAAGTTTATCCTGACAAGTAATGAAATTACCATAAAAACTCAAAGGCAAAGAAAAACAAGGGCTAGCAGTAAAGAAAAGAACAATTGTTTCTTGGATTAATGATACCTTACCCACGACTCAGGGGATTTATATCCAATATACACAAGCAAATATCATCCTCGTAAAGCTGCACGAAAAACAAATTCCGCAGAGAATCAAAACATGGAACAATCAGAAGTAATTGAACAGACATGGCAAAACAAAAATGTGATTATGAAGATTGCTTCAGTATTATAAAAACCCAAAAAGGCAACAACTTCACATAAAAAACCAACTAGAAACATTTCCAAAACAAAAAACAGATTTTGAACAAACAGAGATACTTACAAAATAAAACCCATTACACAATCCACACTCAACAACTCAAAAATCAGTGCTGTGGTCTTATACTGCTATGAAAGTTTTCATCTTCAATATAATCGAAATTTTGCAGCTTCAATATAATGGGAAATGCAACGAATTAAAAATAAAATCGTCGAGCTTTTACTTTCTCAATTTGTATCTACCTTGAAAGCCGGTGCTTCACCGCGGATGATTTTGCAGAAAACACAGTTGTCTTGGAGATTACCCTTGTTGGAATCACCGGGTTGCTGCTTGTTACTGAAACCAGAGTCGCAACTGGAGCTGGGAACGGGAACTAGTCGGGCCGGAGCCGGAGTCGGACCGGGGCATATATGGGAACAGATAATGGAAAGCCTGCGAGCCTCCATTTTCAAGCAAGAACAGAGGTTTCGACAACGAGTATGGCTGTTGCCATGTTTTCCGATTCCTCTGAAATGTCGTGGAAAACTAGGAAGACAGAGAAACAAAACACCAAAGCTGGTTTTTGTTTTGATTTTTTTAAAATAAATATTTTAGGAAAATAAAAATTAAGAGGGTCAGGTGTGTTTGCTTATCCTCATGCCATAACTATGGTCGGATTTTTGCGCTCCCAAATGGGCCAATCAGTAAGCTGTGAATACAGAATTTATTTTCTTTATTAAATTAAAAGAATATAAGATAATGATAAAAATTGCCTCGCCTTCAGTATCTACATCAGCATTTAATTTAATTAATTAATTTATTTATTTATTTTACGATTTGTTGAAAAATTGGGGAGGTTTGGCATTTATTATTATTTCATAATGGTCAACTTAATATTTGCTGTTTTGGGCGTTCAAATAAAAAAAATAGAAAGCAAAAATCTGATTAATTGCACAATTCTGCATGGTTTTCACACACAAATAAAAGTTATTGAGAAATTATCTAAAAACTCTTTTCAATTATAAAGGCCCAAAGTTTCTGAACAAAAACCATAAAAAATAGAAATGAAGGCCCTAATTTTCATTAGCTCGTTTACGACAGTGGTGGTGAAGATTCTTCCTCTTTTCATGGTATCCAGGATCGAACTTAGGAAGTTTCTTTCTTCCAATAAAATCTTTAAAAAAAAAGGTACTCAAAAGAGTATTCTCTAGGCATTTTTCACCAATTTATTTTTATTTGTATTACAATTTTGCAAATTTTCACCTTGTTCATTTAATTAAAACGAACTGAACATATGATTTTACTAAATTATAAGAAAAACAAATATAAAAAAAGGTAGAAATATCCAAGAAATCCTCTTGGGCGTCCATAGAATTATTTTGGGTAAGCCTATAAGGGCCCAAATGAAAATAGTCAAACTAAAAAACTTGGGCCTAGAAGATGAGATGTCGAATTCAACGAGACACGGTCCCCAAATATGGTAGGCCCGTCAGAAACAAACTTCCTCTGCACTCTGAACAAGTCCGTGGTCCATCTTGTCACACTCAAGTTCGAATTCTCCTATTCGTGGATTAAATTAAATCACGATAATTTAAAAAATTGGAAAATATTTATTTGGGGAGTGAGAGCACACCTCCAAGTTTCCAACTACATTGCAACAAGACTTTGACAATCAGTAAATGATGCTGTTCCTGTTGGTGACCATATAACCAAAAACATTCCCTGCACCGCACGCCTTCTAGAACAGGAGAAAGAAACCTTTCCCATTTTCTCGTTCTCCGGATTAAACAAACCAAAATAATAAAAACAAGCCTTCGCCGAACCCATAAAAAAAAAATATGCCGGTTACGTCATCCCCAACGACATACAGGGAAAAAGCGTGCGCTCGAAACGGCAACCACCGTCGGATCCTTCCACGTCATCATAACCCCCGCCATAACGATCACGTGTGCGCATCACAGCGCACCTCTCCACCAGATGGCATTAAAGCCCGCACCTCACACCGGCAACAACCCCATGCACTGGAGAAAAGCAAATATATACGTGGGCCCCACTCTTTTGAATTGAACCCTTCCTCACTAAGACTTGCCTTCTTCCCCAAATTCCTCCCTTTGTCTCTCTCTCTCTCTCTCTATATATATATTCGTACATTCGGGTCTCTGCACAGCTGCCAACGAAACAGAAGAACCTGAAACAATGGACGACCAAAACGACGGCGTCGTGGCTCCCAGCTTGGATTTCCAGCGCCTCAGAGTGATCTCCGCGCTGGGGCGCGGGGCCAAGGGCGTGGTGTTTCTGGTGAAGGACGAAGAGGCGGCGGAGTTCATGGCGTTGAAGGTGATTTCCAAGGACTTGATCGAGAGGAGGAGCAAGGAGCCGAAGAGCGACGGCAGCGAGTACCGAAGAGTCTGCTTCGAGCAGCAGGTGCTGCGTCGTTTCGACCATCCGCTTCTTCCCAA